TGTACCTCATGCCCCAATGACTTTAAGCAACGTATGTTTTGTTTATATAAAACCCTTTTGTAGTCCGACCAATTAATTAAGCTTGGAGAAAATATAATAAAACTTTAGTAATCAATTCAACTCTAGTTGAGTATGCCATTTGAACATGAAAATCATTGGATAGTTCGTCTCAATTCTTTCATTAAATAATTCCAACTGTACAATGATTCTGGCTCTCCAAGAAATAAATTAGTTATATGGCTTGCACCAGATCCCAAAAGGTATGAATCTGTAGTCCTCATACTCTCACACATATATATATATATATATATATATATTAACCTCTTTACTCTGGTATTATTCACTGGGCATTAGCTCGTGTATATATAGTCTCTCTAGGGATTTCATTGCTGTTTCGACCTCTGTTTTTTTTTTCCTCTAAATTTATTTATTTTAAATATATATATGTCATTGATATGTAATGTATGATTTGTTTTTTTTTTTTTAAATTATGACTTGAGGCTAAATATGATAGTCTGAGGGGCTAATTTGACACAAGTGATGAAATGAAAGAATTTTAAGTTTAAAACAATAAAATTTAACAAACCATGAGAATTTAAACTGTGTTAGATTTTATATGCAAATATATGAGACTATAGCTTTTCAAACCCTAAAAAGTTGTGACTCTGTGTTCATATATATATATAAAATGGGACATATATATTTTACTTTTGATGATATAGAACTCCAATTGATTCATTTTGTTATCAAGAACACGATTTTTTTTTTCTATCTAATTACCCAAATAGTGGGTGTTTGGGCAGTGGATTTTTATGTAGGTTTTTTTAGTTATAGGATTTTATTGGAGAAATTTTTTTTGGTGTTTGAGAAGATAGTTAGATTTTTTTGTGGTTGGATGTGATACTTGTGAGAGAAAAAGTGAAATAATTATGGGATTGGATGTGATATTTTGTTTGCATTTATTTATTTTTATTTTGTAAAAAGTTTATCTTTAAGTAAAAAAAATCAAAAAAAACCCAACACACAAACTTTCCAAACACCACCTAATCTTCACAAATACTATTTATACATAAATTTCAATTCATTGTAGTAGAGAAGTCAGATCGAGAAGTGAGGAGGGTTTCAGAATTTAGTATATATATAAATGGTTTTGGATTTATTTTTTTAATTTACTGTTCGGTTCACAAGTGTTTTAATATAAAATCATGACTTATTTTGAGAAGTAGGTTAAAAATTAATTAATTTTTTTATTTTAAAAAAAGTGTAAAAATTAAAGAGATGATATAATTTTAAAAAAAATTAAAAAAAATTAATTTTTAAACGTATTGCCAAAATAAGTCATGTAATTTTTCAAAATTTGATGAGCCAGAGTCCTTTATATGTCGACATTTCTTTCGCACTAAATGATGTCATGTGCATTTACTATATTTTTTTTTCTCACTGATCATAAATGATTGGGACTTGTTTATAAATATTAGTGTGAATGGAATCACCTTGTATCTAGTAAGTAAAAGATACAAATATTCAACCGTGCTTCAGATTTATATTACAAAAATGTTATTAGCAAGTTGTCAACAAATCATTTTACATACAGTTTGCTTGTGCATTGGTTCCGTTTCACAAAATACGCTAAAAATAAGTTAATAAAATAATAAAAGAATGTGGTTAGTTTATATGTAAATGCATGTCTTATCTGATGGGTTTAATGTTGTTATTTTGAGGGCGTTACAAATTCTTTCCAAATGAATATTTTACTCCTAGGTTAAAAAAGCCTTAACCCAAAAAGCCAAATTAAAAAAATTCTTATCAAACGAGCACATAGTTTGGTTAGGAAGAATCTACCTATTATTGGCTGCCCTGTTTCCAAGCTCCAAACAATGACCTAGGAAATCTTTTTACTTGGTGTAGGTGATCAACTTTGAATTTAGCTATGTTACACGTTTAGAAAAAATAACATCTTGATATGTTTAAATATCAAAATATGCCCATCAAAAACAAAATATTAAAAAAATGTGGACTAATTTATTTTGATTTTAACCCATATTATATAAAAATTAGATTTACATCATAAATTTAAATTTTAAATTTTTATTTTATTTTAAAAACTAAACATCTATGCTTTAAATTGGGCAAGTAATCCTCCAAAACGTGGGGCGCTAGACCTGTTATTCATAATTTTTTTTATTTTAAAATATTCACAACCATTAAATTATGTTTTAAAATTATCTTATTTTAATATTCTGACATGATCAAATGGATATTAGTGCTTAAAAATATAGAGATAAAGAGATTTGAACACAACTAATCATTTCTAAAAGTAGAATTGTATTGATTAAATCCTATTAATCTTGGTCATCCTTGTTAATAAGATTCTCATTCTTTATAAACAAAATAAAAATGTTTGAAATCTCTAAATGAGGAGCTCTAGAGACGAGCTCCACCTTATGATTTGATATTTTGACTTGTGATATTAAATTATGTTTTTACTTTTTTTTATTATTATTTTTATGTATTACCACATCACTAGAAATGGTATTAGAATTCCAACTCTAATATTCTCTATCATCACTCATAAACAAAAAAACAACTTTTGATTATTTGGTTGACCATAGATCTTTTATACACATGACATTCACGAGTGAATTCACGCAGAAAGTGCAAAAGATCATTGAAATTCATTCAATAATGCGTAATTTTTAATGGGAAATTTTACTGTACGCATCTTTAATTATGTTTTTATTTTTTTTAATTATGATTAATTTTTTTCTTTAATTATAATATTATTTTAATTATAATTCATGAGATCTTTAGTTATACTTCATGTAATATTTATTTGGTTATATTTTTTTTTTCCAATTATGATTCAAAAAGTATGAAATTATATTATTTTCTTCTTTAGTTTAGGGTGTATATAGTCTTTTCCATTTTTGATTATTTATTTTTTTAGACAACATAAGAAGGTTATATTTGTACTATCCTCTTCATTGAGGCTGAAAAAATAAATAATCAAGATCGGAAACCAATTCTTATTTGTAAAATTTAAGGAATATTTGGAATGATCTAAATAAGTATTTATTTTTATTTTTTACAAAAAAAAAACCATGAAATATGAATTGAGTTTGAAGTGATGTAATAGAAAGGTAATGTGATCAAAATAAAATAATTATAACCAAATAAAATAATATAGTAAAATAACATGAATTATTTTAACACATGCCAAACAACCTTTAATTCATGCCAGACATATGTGCAATGGTAAGTTGAAAAATTGAAACGCCTCCTCCAAAGTGATTCCACCTCCATTCTGATCAATAGGAGGGTAATTATAAATATGAAAAATATTTATATCATCAAATAAACTAATAGTCCATAATAATTAGAAAGTCAACAAAACCTAATACAACAATACATCCAGTGCTAACCAAAGCCCAACCCTAACAACCACTACTAACTATATACCAACCCTCATAATGGAGAAGATAGTCACCATAAAAAATATCAAACTCCTCTACATAAAAATGAAATCGGAGATCTCACACTTGAAAGGGTGTCACAAAACCACTAGGGAAAATGCCCTAGTTGTAAGCTTAATGTGGATGGAAATGCTGCTAAAGGTAACCATGGACCACCTAAACTTGGTTGCTATTCAGAGACGATCGATGGTTTCATGGGAAACATCGAAGCAATTAACAGTATAGAGGCAAATTTATGGGACATTCTCTCAAAATCTTGAGCTCAATAAAAACATGGAACTGACCAAACAGCCCCATAGGGCTTTGAATGAAGCTTGTCACTTCCTTTTTAATAGACACAACTCTTGTATTACCTTTGAGGGAAGGGAATTCTTGAACTAAACTTTTGACAAATATGAGTGTTATAGCTAATGAAGAGGCGGAAATCTTAGAACTCCCCCTCAAAACCCTTCCCCTCCTCATCCTTGCAAATGTTGCTAGTGTCTCTTTTGTAAGACATCTCTAGTTTGCTGTTTGACTTTCCCTTGTCCCTAATAGTTAGACTAAATTCCCATAAAGTCCTATTGAAAATAAATCTTGGTAAAATTGTGGCTAAAAACATTTTTTTTGTGATAATTTTTTATACATGTCGCTAAAAATTAACAATTAGTAACTTTTTTTTTGTCGTAATTTTTATAAATTGTAGCTAAAACTTACAATTAGTGACCTTTTTTATGACAAATTTTTTTCATAGGACCTATTAGATAATAAATTCACTTATTAAGACCTGCACGTAAGTACCCTGCAATACCACATTAGCAATATTAAAATAATAAACAATTTTAATTGGTATTTTGATTTGAAATTACCATATCACCCTGCTTGAGTGCATAAATAAAAGTTACCCTAGACAATTGAAGGAGAATTCTATTTTACACTCCTGTGGTCTATGCAATCTTAGTTATATTATTATTTTTTTTAATTATGATTATTTTTTTTTGTGTTGAATATAAGTATATTTTTTATATTTTTATTTTTTTTAGGTCACATCACTTCTCTACTTTTCTGTGCATTTTTTTCATAAAAAGTCAAAAAATATATTTATTTAAATCATCTCATATTATGACTTTTTATGTTTGATTACGACTTTTTTTATTTTTATTTTTATTATGACTCAAAAAGTATAAAATTATAATATTTTCTTATGTACTTATAATATGGTACACACCCTATCCTCTTTCCCGAAAATTAAATATGTAAAAAATTAAAAATTAAAAATTAACGGTTAATATATCACATTATTATATATCAGACAAATTGGTAAGCCTTTTTTAAGAGTATAAAGAAAAAAAAAATTCTTTTTTAATCCAAAATAAATGTCTACCTTTCATTTTGTTAACTATTTATGTGAGAAGGAGATCGAGTCGCCGCTTCTCATGTCGGTACATGGTCTGACAAACCACGCACAAACAAACATCATCTGTAACCGCAAAAACCAAGACAACAAAATGTTTTTGATTGATTCCATGCCAGACAACTTCAAAACTCGCCGGAATTTCTTACTACGCATCGAAAAGTGTTTCGATTTTTATTCCCCCACAAAGTAAAACAAAAGAAAAGGAAAAGAGTAGTCTATTACAATTCCGGGGACTATAACACTCGCCGGAAATCTGAGTACCAATTTGGTCTGTTCATACAAAAAGCTTCAAAAGCTTTGGCTCTTCTTCTCTTCTCAGCTTCTTCACACCATAATCATCATTTCCTCCAAAGCTCATCATCACCATCTCTGATGATTCTTCCAAATTGAACGATATTGCCATCGCCTTTTGCTGCTGCTTCTTCTTCTGCTCGTAATAATTCAGTCCAGAAGAGATGTTGAGATCGGAAAATTGGAGTTGTGTGCCACTGCTATCATTATCAAAGCCAGAGTACCGATTCTGAAGCTTCAATGCATCGGCGAGAAAAGCCTTGGAAGATTCGTTGGTTTCTGGGTTTAGAATTCCGGTGAGATTTGGCCGCAAAGTGCCGCCGGAGAGAACGGTCTGAACGGCGGCCTGGCAGATGTGCCAGTTACCGGTGGAGAGGAGGCCCACGGCGCCGTTCACGGGGTTCACCGTACGACCGCAGGCTTCAAATAACAGGGACTGAAACAGAGCTACACACAAATACAGAGTTCAAAATAATTAATTAATTAACAGAATCAAATCAAGCAAAAACAAAGCTTGTTGCTTGTTGTGATGATGATCAATTAAGATTTGCAACTTTGAATTGATTACTTAATTACCAGGTCGGTTGTTGTGAGGCACGGCGGAGATGAAGGACATGAGATCGCTTCGGCCGAAGAACTTGGAGACAAAAAGAGTGGCGTGGCCTTGGGCTTGCGGGCTCTCTATCCACTGCAAACACGGCCTCAGAATACACGACTCGCCGCATCTCCGTCTCAGAACACGGCACCCGTTGCAGCTCATCATCATCTCTCTCTCTCTCTCTCTCTCTCTCTCTTTGTGTGTGTGTGTGTGATTCTGTGGTTATTTCTTCAGCTCAAAGGAAAAGGGAAAGAAAAAGAAAAAGACCAAACATAGTGAGCTGATGAGACAGAGGGTAAGGTTTGGATGGCCTTAAAATACAAGTGGTTATAGTGATGGACTTAGAAAAATATTAGTTACTCTTAGCTCATGTTTGTTTTGGGTTATAGCAAGGGATTAGGATTACTAGTACCTTGGGATTAGTATATGGAGTGTTTGTTTTGAGAGATAGCCTTGGGACTATTAATACCTTGGGACTAACTAATACCTTGGTATTACTAATACCTTGTTTGTTTTGAGAGATAGGGAGGGTATTACTAATACCTTGGTATTACTAATACCCTTGGGGAGAGGATTCATAGTGAGGAGGTAGAGATGGTATTAGAAAAATAGTGAGGGGATTAGAAATTTTTTTATTTTTTTATTTTTTATATATTGGAAATTGTTTTTAAAATATAATTTTTAATTTTTTATATTTTTTTATTTGTTTTATTATTTTATATAAAAATAATTTAACAATTCTTCACTACTAATTCCCTCATTATCAATCCCCTCACTACTAATCCCCTCACTATCAATCCCCTCACTAACAATCCCCTCATTATTAATCCCCTCACTATCAATCCCCTCCATTCTATCTCTGAAAACAAACGACCCTACTAACAATCCCCTCACTATTAATCCCTTCACTATCAATCCCCTCCATTCCATCTCTGGAAACAAACGGGGCCTTAAAGTGTTAGTATAGATGTTATTGGGTCATGGAGTTGAAAAATTATTAAGTAATCTTGAAATGTTTTGAGATATTACTAATGTGAAGTAATTTTTTAGAAAAATACTTGGTGGTTTGAATTTGTATGACTTGAATGAGGAGTGATGGAGAACCTCTCCAATCACCACCCCCACCACCCTCACACACATGTGACAAGTGGTGATTGAAGGACAAGGGAAACAAAACAAAAAAAAGAAAAAAAAATTCAACCAATGAAAGAGAGAGGGGGTCAAAAGGGGGTGAGAAAAAAAGGGGTCTTAGACATTTTTGTTTTACTAATTTGATAAATTATAATTAATGTAACAAAAATAAATAAAGGGGTGATTCTGAATCATTAAAAAAATAAACTCGTGTTAAATTGGGGTTTGAGTTAAAAGTTAGCAGTTAATTAGAGTTAAGTTAGTGGTTAAGTTACGTAAGAGTGACAGTGGAGACACGTGTGTGGGGGCTATTGACAAGGAATATCTAATCTATTAATTAATTTATATTTATTTATATTAAGAATAATGCTTGGGACCCCTTTTGGGGGTCACCCTCTCACCCCTTTGCCACGTGGCAGGAGGTGATTGGTGGAGCAGGAAAAAAAAGAAAAAGAAAAAGAAAAGGTAACCAATGAGAGAGAGAGGGGGTCAAAAGGGGTGGGAGGAAAAGGGGGATGAATCATTACTCTTATATTAATATGTCTGATCCGAAGTCCAGGCTGGACATGAGCGAGAGAGCGCGGCTTCGGTTTTCCGCAGGAGTTTTTGGTCACAGGATCTCAACACAACCAGCGTACCCTTCGATTTCGATTTCTTTTTGATCAATTTGTACTTTCCTTAACTGCTGAACTTTGTCCTTTTTGTACTCATTTGGCCAGCACAATTTATATTTTAAAATTAGGAAAAATATTAAATCAATGAGACAATTAAATATTATTTATATTTTTATGATAGTGTAATTTTACTATATGCATAATGTACTGCATTGAAGTTGTACCACAAAAAATTTGATATCTAATTTAATAAATTTTTACACTGTTCGTTGATTTGATATTTCTCTTAAAATTAATACATGGCTCATGTATATAATAAATTGTGATTGATTAATGTATTTTTAAGACATGTAATATTATTGATTTATACATCATCTATGTATAGGTGCTACTTTCTCTATCCACCGATGGATTTGGAAGGGGGTCACTTTTGATTTGCGTACTTTCTTTGCTTTTGGTACATAATCTGTGCTGAGTAGAGATGTGGTCCGTAACAACTTAAAAATCACATCTATAGAAATTTTTTTATAATGAAGTAGATTTGTCTCTAGAGTACAGAGTGAGTTAGACATTCTTATTGGATCTGTGAGATTTATTATGGATTTTATTTTAATAATTTGAATTATATAATATGTATAACTCATCGAGTGTTTTATTTTTGAAAAAATTACGTTAATTAGATATCGTTAGTCTCTTAAAGGAAAATAAGATTCTAAAAATAAATTGTTAAAAAAATATATTATGATCAATGAGCTATTGATATCCAATCAACGTAATTTTTACAGGGATGAAATAATCAACGACTTCTTCACATTGAACAATTCGAATCATTAAAATAAGACTTATGGTAGACCCCACAAATAACACACATCTTATTTTGGAATATGTATTCTAATTATGATGTTTATAGTATTTAGTTATAATTTGTTATGACTTATTATAATGTTGGTTATATTCGGTTATGATCTACTATGATTATTATTTTGGTTATTATCTAAAATATCTTTAGTTATATATCTTGTGTTTTTTTGTTATGATTCATTATTTTATTTTATTTTTTTAAGTTATAAATGTCATAACTTGCATATAAGTGTGTATTCTAGAACGATCTTTTATTTTGGACAAATTATAAATACACTTTCTAAAGTTTGTTTAAAATATTAAAAGACAATTGTGAAAAAAGAAGAAAAAATTGAGCATTCTAACCAAATAAACTCTGAATTTTTAATTTTGTCAATTTAAATCATAATCATTTGATTTGCTTTCAATCTAGACTACCAGCTATAGACTGAAAAGAGTATTTTAGTTATTATATACATATAATATCTAAAACACTAATTTTCATAGAATTTAATTACTATAATATCCATTTTTCTATCGATTTACTTAACGAAAATAGACAAATGATTTAGATTGAAAACAAATAAAAATTTTGAATTTAAATTGACAAAGTTAAAAACTCATGATTTATTTTGTTACATGAGTCAAAGTCTATTTTTTTTTTTCTTGTAATTTCTCCAAACATTAATTACTCCTTATAATTATAGAAAGTACATCATACTCCTTTAAATTTCTAATTGCATAACACGCATAACAAATTATGTATTTTATTAATCAATTATTAAGTCAATAAATAATTTTTAATGATGTTAGGAATATATTTCATTTGAGTAGTGCTATTCTAATCTAAAAATTAGAGACACACTCTAAATCCAATGACGTGATAATGTCTAAAATATCTAAGACAACTCTCTCTCTCTCTCTCTCTCTCTCTCTCTCTCTCTCTCTCTCTCATGTTTCTCTAATCATCAACTAATTACCTGACTTACACATCATTGGATCTAAAATGTGGGTTTATATATCATTTTCATTTTAATTAATAGTTTTGGTAATTTTATTATTGTGTAGGAGGGTAGTTAGAAATTTTATTTTTTCTATTAACTTTGTTAAATGACAAATTCTAACATGGGGTATTTGTAATTTCAATATTCACGAGAAATAATTCGTATTTTAAGCAAATTTCAATAGATGTATTTGTAATCTGGAAGTGGATTCCCTCTGGTCCATAATTTGGACTAGAGGGCGTTATTTGTGCTCACGAAACCCACCACGGGTCATGTTTCGATAATGTGAACTGTTTATTTTACCGAGCACCTCGTGTATTTAATATACAAAAAACATTAGATTGATTCAATAATCATAACATATTCAATTTATACATTTGTCATTAAATAAAAATGGACGACAATTGTGTTTTTAAAAATAAACCATTCAATTTTTTATTTTTATTTTTATTTTTTTTGGTAACAAATGAAATGGATAGAATAAATTACGATTATTAGATTGATCTAATTTTTTGTATATAGCTGATATATAAAGAACTCGAGAAAATTAATGATTTAAATAATTAAAACAAAATCTGTGATAAACCCTATGGACTCGAACAATGATATCCAATTTAAATTATGGATAGGAAGAAATCCACCTCCTTTGTATTTACCTCTTTACTTTTTTTTTTATTCATATCCTATAGATGATTTGTAGAAAATTCTTATAAGTTCACTCTACTGTAGCGGATGAATATTATCCAATTCTCTATTCAGTTTATTCAGTGACATCCATTGTTTTTTTTATGTCAATTTGGTTGGGATCGTTCTATCTGGTTATGATGTATTTTTGTATTTATTATTTCTCTCTCTTTATTAAAGTATTATCTTCTTGTATGTTGATTTTCTGTCAATAAAGCTTTCTTCTTTTTGCTGAAGAAAGTGACTTATATTATTTTGAATTCTACTTTATTATGTAATTAGTATATGTCTGTGCCTAAAGATACGGTGTAAATAATGTTAGAATCAAAATGTAATTGTAATTTATACATATCATGTTGAAATTTGTAAATTTTGTGTCATTTTTTGACAAAGATATTTGAAAAATATATTTAAATATTTTTCTTCTTAAAGAACTTGTAACAATTTTGCTTGTATTACACGCTCTATAAAACTCAAATAAAATAACAACTCCCCTTACTCTTAATGCAAATTAAGAAATAAATACATAAGATTTATAATGTTTACCAATTTTGCAAATCAAAATATAAGAGCAAGTACAAAAAAATTGTAAACACTGAACAAATGCAGAAATTAAAAATATTGTATACTTGTTAACGTTCTATAATAAAAAGAAAAAAGTTACTAAATACCACATAAAGCACGTCAGTAAGTGTTCTGCAATCTCAACATATTAAATTGAAAATTAAACATCAAGCAATGCATACCAGCATGTATTCTACAATTCCAAACAAATGAAATATAAAAAAATTAAAATTAAATATCAAATAATGCAAACCAGACAGTGCTCTACAATCTAAAAAAAAATAAAATTAAAATACGCACCAGTTAGTGCTACTGCTGCCAATCAAATTATAACTACATAAGAAAAACAAATATTATACTGTCATACACTAAAAAAGTGGGTTAAAACCTTACAAAAAGTGGGTTAAAGCTTTCCAAAATATGTATGCTTTACAAAAGATGTGTTAATAATATGTCTTCAAG